ACTTAAATCAACCTCAGCCCATTTGAAAACACATCAGTACGAAAGACTCCTTTGCCCCAACACACCTGGTACACTCTTCCCACACCCTACAGCGCGAGTCGAAAGCAAGAAGCTTTCTAAAAAATCATTATTAAATTTCTTCGGAAACTAAGTGAACCAGCTCATCAAGACTCATCCACTTGTCGGCAGGACTGACCTGTTTTGGGAGGATTTCTTTTGACTTTCATCCAGTCAAAGGTCTGCGCTGGAGAAGACGTCTCCGACGCAGGGGAGCGACAGGCTTCTTGGTGGCTGGCGTGGAGAGGGGACAAGGAGTTATTATACGTGGCCAGGGTCAGGCTCTGGTGCTCTTGTCCATATGAGTGGTGAATGTACTGAGGCGAACCCACCGTGCCCCCAGCATAACCCTGGTGGTGGTGGTGATGCTGGACCATGGGAGATGAGAGATTTCCAGAGTAAACAGCGGAAGCGCACGGGGAGTACCCACCACTTACGTCTGCTTCCTGATTTAACCCATAGGGGCCGTAAGGCGCACCGAAGTTCTGCGCGCCATAGCTTGGACCACAACCCGAGTGGGAGTAGGACACCCCCAGGTTCCCAGAAGTCTGGTAAGTGGCCGGCTGGGGGTGGTGGTGGTGGTGGTGGTGGTGGTGATGGTGGTGTGGCGAGCTGATCTGCACACCCCTGCCCACAAGAAAGCGGTCGTCGCCGCTGCAGCTGTTGGCACTGACCGCACACGACTGGAAAGTTGTAATCCCATGATCGGAGGGGTAGGCTCGCGCTGAGCAAGTCCCAGAATCACCACTGCTAAGTATAGGGTATTCCAGGAAGGAGCTCATTCTTGCATTGTCCATCTGTCACTGAGCGACCGGGTCCTGCGAAGCCCTGGGTGATCGTGCCAACTTTCTCACTTCCTCCATGGGGCCGGAGAAGAAAAATGATATGAATGTACAGTGCGCACGAGGGGGGGCTAGAGGGCGGAGGGCTCTAGGGATGGGCACGTGATTTCGCCAGCCAATGGCTAAGCCTCCTGCTAAAGTTTGCCGGCTCCGGCGGTGATGGATCACCGTTTCAGTGGCATTTAAATCCCCGGCGCTCCTCTGTCTAGGTGACGCGCAGCAGCCCCCCCAGGCAGCCCAGGCGACGGCAGCAGCTGCAGCGGCTGCAACGACAGATTCCGAGCGCTGGGGCGAAGGGAGCAGAAGCTGCCTTCTGCGCGCTCCCGACTCCGCTCGCCCCCTCCCCCCAGGAGGTGGGAGCTGGGAGGCATCCCCCGCCTCCGCCTCCTCCCCACCACGCTCTGAAAGATGAACTGGCAAGAGGTGAGAAGGGAAGAGGGCTCCTGGCTCCCCTGGGGTGGGAATCCGTGGGCTAGAGCTCGCTGGGTGGCCGCAAGTACCTCGGCCCAGTCCCGAGAGCGCGGAGCAGGAAGGGTGGGAATCCAGTCCTAACCGCGCCCGAGTCCCAGGGTAATTCCACCGTACAATCTCGGCTGTGAGGCCGTGGGGCCTTAAGGAGCTCGAAAAACGCTGGAGGAGGGCGAGGCTAGGCCACTAGCTCTCCAAGCTCGGAATGGAGAAGGTAGTGCGCCAAGAACTGACTGCGGGGAACCCGGGTGGGAATGGAAGGTACGAGAGCAAGAAAAGAAACTTCCCTCCTCCAACGAGGGTCTCCCCAGCCTTCTTTTCCAACCCCCGCTCGTCATTAGCATGGCCATGAGGAGCCTCTGTAATTCGATCCCCAGGGACGACTAAGCCCTTGAAACCAAGCTTGCTGGAAGAGGCCGGGGTTGCTGGGCTCTTCTCTGCCCTCCCTCATTCCTTGCTCTCTCCGCCCCTTTCTCCTCCCCACTCAGCTTTGCTAGGGGAGCCCTCTGAGATCCGAAGCAACTCCACTGCTGGAGTTTGAGGGGGTAGGAGAAGGGGGAGGGGGATGACGCTATCAAACGTGGCCAGCGTGGGGGCCGGGCCTTGAGCTGCAGGCCATCTGCTGGCTCTTAAGGACTTGGGAGCCTGCGTGCAATCTCTAGCGCTCGGAAGGCCGGAACGCAATTCCTACAAACATTCCGAACTCTCCCTGTTCCTTTTTCTGGAGGGGGATGTTAGGACTGCCTCCACTTTCCACTGCACCCCATCTACTGCACGTCTGGAGTGGAGGTCGGGGCTGGCAGGTGGGAGAGGCAGTGGACAGATGGCTGAGGGTGAATGGGACAGTTCTCTCTTCCCCAACATCTCCTCCCCTTTCCAACGGACTGTATAGTTACTTGAGTGAACTTTCAAGTCTTTCCATAGAGAGATGCGTGCGTCACCCCAGGCCAGGGGTCCTGGTCTCCCTCACCCTAGTCCTATATTGATGCTGCTGGGGTCGTTAATTGCTGTTTACTATTAGGTTTCATGTCAACCTCGGGCTTGTGGAGAAAAAAGGCCAAGCAGAGACTGAAAACTGATGCATTCTTAAGCAGGAGAAATCCAGAGATCATCTAAGAAGCTTTACAACTAAAGCTGCATAGATTTTACTTTGACATGTTTGTGACATTGGATCGGATAGATGAAATTAATAGTGAGGATTATACGTGAGTTTGCTGTTCCCATGCCCTCCTTTTCTACATTAAAAGAAAGGAAGTTTTTCTCTAGGCGGCACATTTCAAATGTGTTAGTCATCCTTATATATATCTGTGTTCAGTTCTCATAAAGAAGTTCTCCAAAAACCTGTCCCCACAAGAGGGAAAATTTCTGTAGACCTTTTACTCTGAACTCCCTCAGTAGCAATGAAACATTTTCCCCAAACATTTCCTTTTGGAACGGTATTTGCCTATGACCTTTGACCCACACCAAGCATGGAAAGAGGAAGAGCTCAGAAAGTTACCCCTACCCCAATTTCAGCTCCTAGGGATCCTCATCCTGCAGAATGGGATAGACAAGGGGACCCTCTTGGAGATAGCCTCCTTGGGATCACCAGGGTTGGGGAAACAAGGGGGTCTTGTTGGGCAGGGGACGGGATGTAAGAGGGTCAGTGCTGGCAGTGAGGGAGATTCAGGCCCTCTGCCCGCTTGCCTCCTTCCTATACCTTTGTGGGCTTCCTCCGCTCTGGTTTGCAATATCCTCCTGGCCGGTTGTAGTTCGCCTGCACAAAGCCGCCTTCAGCCTCAGCCGCTGTCTTTTCTCTCCCTCCACCTCTCTTTCTCCTGGCCTGTTTTCAGGGGAACCCGCATGGGGTGTTTTCCTTTGGATCACAAATTTGCACTGCCACACAAGCCTGCATACATACAGGCCAACTACCATCCCACCTCTTCACACTGCTCCAGCTCCCGCAGGCCGGCTCTGCCTCGGCTGGTCCCCCCCAAGTGCCGCTCTCCTGGAGTGGCTCACAAAGGCAGCCTCCCGCGGCATCCAGCCCATAGGCTAGGCTTTGGTAGCTCGGATCCTTCCCCAGCCTCCACACCACCCCTACCCCACCCCCAGGAATCGTGGGAGCCATTCTGCTGTGTAAGAGACCCTTGGTCCTCTGGGCATGTAGGCCAGCGACCCAGGACTCAGCTAAAATCTCTTTAAATGCCTGAGGAGAGTGGGTGAAAGGCGAGCTTGGTTACGATTAAAATAATCGTCTGCAAGTATCTGGCTCTGCTCAAAACGCCTCTTTCGGGGCTCTTCTAGAAAGAGAAAGAGCGAGGAGGAGACAAAACGCCGCCAAGGCCCCTGAGCCGTTCATGGCATCCGTGGCTCAGCCAAGCTGTTGTTTTAAAAGAGCAATAAAAATGAATTATGACTGAACGCCTTCTAACTTAATGCTTTCGGACGGGGATCCCCGGCAAATACGTAAGAGGATTTTTATTTGTGCATGTGTTCCTGCAATTGATCTCTTTGATGACATTCTCATTCATAGAAAGCGTTTGATTTATGAGCTTAGGACGAATTGCATCCAGGAGCGGCGCAGCCCTGGCCGCAGCCCGGACGCCTTGCTCGGCGCTAAGCCTGAGCCTAGGTCCGGAAGCCTGCCACAAACGCCACAGGCCGTTGCTGCTGCTGCTGCTGCTGCTGCTGTTACTGCTACTACTACTACTGCTGGGATTTAGCGGGTGAAGAGGTGACAGAAAGTAGGGAGCAAACCCATAAGGAAAGATCGCGATTTTATTCTAACTTCCAAGCCTTTGCTGTTAAGAGCAGGGTTCTTAAATCAACCGGCCCAACACACACATGTTGCTGCGCTTTCTCACGGTAAGTAGCCCATAGAAGAGCACAGAAAGGGAAAAATAAACATGGGGAGACATAAAAACTGGAAAAAAAAAAAACCAGAACAGCCCCCAAACACACCCTAGGTCATATTTTATTGATATTTCATTTAAAGTGCTTTTTCTCTTTCTTTGCCTAACTGGGTTACTTTATAACCTAGGGTGCAGAAGCACTTCATTTTAAATCTCAACTTGCTAACCTGACTTCAAAGCTTTAATGATCCATTATTAGCAATGTAAACAGATTTAAGAATGAAATATTGATTTTTCTGACCCTGGATGTGGGGGGGAGTATCCTAGAATGACTGGACCAGACAATTAGAAAGAGTCTTTCCCGAAGTGCATTTTCCAGCTAGTAACCATTATTTTGTTTTATTGTTTTTCTCTATCTTTTAGGTCTGTTTTGCCTGAACCCATCAACAGCTGGGAGATTAATCAACCACTCTGAAAATGTACGGGGGAATTGTGGGGGAGGGGTTGGAATGTAGATGTTTGGGACCAATGTGTATAAATAAATGAATTGTTGATAACTTATTGACCTGGTAGCTTGTTAAAGAAACCCAGAGTTGCTCATTCCTAGAGCTGGGGTTTCAGTAGGCACTTTATTTCTCCACCTTCAAAAGCTTGAGCTTGCCCAACTCTTAGGCTGCCCAATCCTGTTTCTATTACTAATTTAAATTTATGGCTTGAGCCACTACACTGAAAGCCAAATCCATTCCCTTCCAAAAAAGAAAAAAGAAAAGAAAGGAAAAAAAAACCCTAAAAACAAAAAGTACTTGTCAGAAGCCCTAGCCATTTTCTGGCTGTATTTGTTGCGGTCTATTGAAGACTTTGAACATGCCACATTAATAAATATATTAAAATTGAAAAAGAAGATAAATTGTGACCAGAATTTTATTTACCAAGTTAGACTAAAAGAAGAAAAAAGAAACCACTATGATCCTTGAGAAAGAGGGGGAGAAAAAAATAAAGCTACTTATAGCAAAGGATAATTTATTCTACCAAAAATACGAATGACAATGCATCCTAATGTAATACAAAAATAAAAAGAAAGTGATGATACAATTTCTAATCACTTTCTTGCAGGCCTCATATATTGCTTTCAGGAAAACCACACAAATGGTTGTTAGGTGAGGTTTAAAACAACTAAAACTCCAATGTAATCTGTAAGAGATGACTCTGAAACTGAATCAGGGAATCACTAAACAAAATGCTCAACATTTAAAGGCGTAAGGGGGTAGGTCAAGAAGAAAATAAAATAAAAATCAACTCCCGGAATAAAAGAAGGCAAAACCACCTGGTCGGGGGTTTTTGTTTTGTGATGCTTTGTTTTTGCTTTAATGTTTTTAGTAATTCAGATGCTGCAAGTCAATTGTGGTGAGTGTGTCTGTAAAAAAGTCAAAGCTGTCAGCTGAAATATCTACAGGACTGTCGAGAGAACCTGGCAAACTGGGCGAGACTGCATCTGAAAGCTGCAGGCAAGAATCTGTGGAGAAAACGTTAAAGTCCTGCAAAGAGGGGACCTCGAGGGCCTCGGGACTGTCATTGTTTAGGCCAGCTCCACAGTTCTGGCCCATTGTTGACAAGCAGTTAGGAACAGTGGGTGACTGGTGCTGAAAATGTTTCAGATTTTTCTCATTGCTGGTTAAAGGCGAAACTGGGAAACTTTGGGAGTCGCCATTGTGTCCATTGGGAGCCTGCTGTTGCGAGAGGGCATTTTGCTGAAAAGTGTAACCTTCCCTCTCCAGAAGGGCCCCGGAGACGCTGAGGGCTTGCTCAAAGAGCGACTTCTCTTCTTCATCCTCCTCTACTTTCTCTGAGTCCTCAAGGCTTTTAAATTTCCCTTCACTGTTTTGGTTTTCCTTGCACTGGGTCTGTCTCTTGTGCTTCATCCTCCGGTTCTGAAACCACACTTTCACTTGTCTCTCAGTCAAATCCAGCAGCGCTGCAATCTCCACCCTTCGGGGTCTGCAAAGGTACTTGTTGAAATGAAATTCTTTCTCCAGCTCTAAAAGCTGCGTGTTAGTGTAAGCAGTTCTCAGGCGCCGCGATCCCCCGCCGCTGCCATCGGCGATTTCCAGGGATTCTGCGGAAAGGGAAACCAACAAGAGACACACGCACAGTTGGAGGTGGAGGGGTCCAAGAGGGATTATTCCACTGGAGAATAAATATAGCAGAAAAGATCAACTGCAACAAAATGGCCGCCCTGGATGCAGTAGAGCTATTGTGCTGCCTTTCCTGGGAGCTCAGCCCCGGGAAACCCCATCTCATCCACCTCTATCAAATTCCTGCCTGTAGCTCCCCCCAACCTCTTCATCCGGGAGCAAACTTTATATTAGCCACAACACAATTTATAATTAATGCATCAGCTGCTTAGCTGAGCAAGAGCGATCTATCACTCTTCATTACTGTCAAAAAGCCAAACTCTAGGACAACTAGACAAGAGGAGGTCAGTTCCAACTCAAATAAATCATCCCACATTACACAAGTTAGGGAAAGTTTCCCCCTCCCTCCCTAAAAATATATATGTCTCATTGTGGAGCACAGGATCTCTTCTCTCCATCAAACCCATTCCTGAACCCAAGGGGGCAAGGAAAGGCAACCAGGCATCTGTCCCTCTCCCCCTTCGCTGCTATCCCATGCTCCCCTCCCCCATAACCGCTCTCGGGGCAGCCCGGAGGGGGAACAGGGTCCTGGGGACCTGGGGCCAAGTCTTGGGACTGACCTTTGTGGCTGAGGCAGGCAGGGCCAGTGGTGGTGGCGGCAGCGGCGGCAGCCGGCGGCAGCGCGGTTTTCTTGGCCGCCTTCTTCTCCTTCATCCAGGGGTACTCGGGAGGTTGCAAGGCGCCAGCGGGCACCGGGCTGCCGCGACTGCCCGCGGGGCTCGGCTTGGGGCGGCCGCCAGCGCCGTGGCGAGGGTGACTGCCCGGGTTCAGGCTGGGAATGGTCTGCTCAAAAGGAGGAGGAATCAGTGTCGAGTGTGAAAGCGTCGAGGTCTTGATTGATGAACTTTGAAATGTATCAGCGACAGGGGGAAAAGATGTCAGGCACTCAGCGAGCGACGGCTGGCTATTGATAAAACCAATCTCTCGCTCAAATTCGTAATTCATGGCCTTCTCCTTGGAGCCCCCTCGGAGAAAAAGTTCCCTCTTTTGGAGGGGCTTTGGGGGGGCGAGGCCCAGGAAAAAGGCGAGCGCGGAGGAAAAAAAAATCTATCATAGAAGATCGCTGCTGGGGTGTTTTTTTTCTAATTCACTGATTACAGCCGTATGGGGACCGCGCTACTATTAAACTATTGAATTCATGGAGACAAGGTTGAAATTGGACCGAATTGGCTGTCACATGATTGCTTCTGCCCAATGACAATTTGGGCTTTAATCAAAAGAAGCCACTGTCTGTTTGATTGATCCAAAAAAGTCGGGAAGGAACGCCTCATTGGGGGCCAGTGAGGCTTTATTTACACTTTTTTCAGGACAAAAATATATATATGTGGATGTGGGTGGGAATGCCCGAGAGTGAGTGCGCGACCAGGGTGCCTGCCTTACTCCTGCTCAGCAAGGGATCGGTGTGTGCGCCTGGGAGTGTGTCTGAGTGTATGAGTGAGTGCGAGTGTGAGCCTTGCTGCGGGTCCCGCCAGCGGCTGCCCTCTGCCTCCCCCGCACACTCCGCGCATTGTTTGGGACTGTCGGGAAGACGCCTCGCACCTCACAAATCATTTAAGCACCTCAGTCTGACGCCTGCAGTCATTAACAAAGTAATCCATTAATCTTCAAAGTTTTGACACCCGAGGGCCCCCGCATCCCAGCCACATAAGTTCTGCTAAGACCAGAGGAAAGAGCAGAGGGAAAGAAGAGTTGGGAGATGGAGAAGAAAAACAGTGGGAGGGACAGGAAGAGAGGGAGAGAGAGAAGGAGAAAGAAAGAAGACAGAAAAGAGAGAAGAAAGATTTGGGGGCAATCTTTTTATTTCCCTATCCTCTACTTTTCCTAAAAACCAGTTCTTGGATCTCAGAACTGATATCTCTCTCTCTCTCTCTCTCTCTCTCTCTCTCTCTCTCTCTCTCTCTCCTTTCTTTCTCTCTCCACCAGTTTCCCCTCCCACTCTCTCTTCTGTCTGTTCGCTCCCCCCACCCCATAGTCCCTCGCCCCATTCTCAATGTCCAGCCTGGAATCCGCGCCCCTCGGGCCCCATTGTTAGCCGGCTTTTCCACCGCAGCTTTGCATCTGGCTCCTGGGGGAAGCGGAAAACGGGAGGCGGCTCTCGAAGCTTCCCGACCTTCCTGCGCCATCAACTTCTCAGGAGTGGCTGGAGAAAACAGATGCATGTGCCAATCGAGACAGCAACCCCAGGTCCCTGTGTCCAAATCCCCGTAGCCAGGGCGGCGGCCAGCCAAAGAAATGCCGCCCCGAGCTGGCGAGTGCGGCTTCTGGCATTCTGGGTTTCATACCCTAATGGCTCGGGTGCGGTGAGTATTTCCGATTTCCAGGAAGTCTGTTGGAAGTTACCAGAAGCGAGGGAGAAGACGTTTGTTCCTTACTCTCTCTTTCTCCCTACCCTTCTTTCCTTGTCCTTGTCGCTCTGGTTGGGGGCTGGTTGGTTCAGATGTAGGAGTGTTCCTTGGCAGCCTGAATTGCTTCCCACACCTTCCTGCTCCTTGGACACCAGGGAGGTTTGCACCCGGGTTCTGTTGTGGGAAAGAGCACTGTGGGAAAGAGCGGGGTGTCCCAAGGAGGGATTATACAGGTTTTCCTTCTCCTTCCTTGTCTCTCTTTTTCAATTCCAGGACTTGAAACTGTGTGTGTCTTGGACAGTACTGGGGGTTGAAAAGATAACACCTTTAGGTACCAAATGACAACTTTAAAAAAAAAAAAGCCCACCAAGCCAAAAAGAGGGCATGAGGCAGAGAGAGAGAGAGAGAGAGAGAGAGAGAGGAGAAGAGAGAGAGAGGTCTGAAGGTACTTCTCCCCCCCCCCCAACCCTGAGGATGGTGATTCGCTTTTGCTTTCTTTGAAATGGACCAAGTGATCAGACTCCCCTAGGCCGGCAGGCATCAGTGGCAGGAAAATAAATCATTCTGATGGCCAAGGAGAGAGAGGTTAGTGGGGGAGAAAAAAAATCTTCGTAGAAAACAAGAAAGGCTGACCAAGGAGCGAGGGCAGAACTCTGTCTCTGAGGCCAGCATCAGAGGGGGTTTGGGTTGGAAATGAGATATTAAAGTGGCCTCCAACCTCGACTAGCCAAGAGGCATTGCATTACAGATAGAGATGCTATTTTGGAAAATGTGAGGTTTTTCAGTTTTCTTGCTTTTATTCCAAACAAAGCTCTGAAGGAAGTCTGGGCACGATCAATCTTGCTCACCAAAAGCCTTGACAGCTTCTGGCCCTTAAGAACACATTTCAGCTTCAAGCTCTTTCCAAGATCAAATGTGGCCGAGCAAAGAGGAGAGCAGGAAACGCAAGTAAACAAGGAAAACTAGTCTTTTTAAAGATATTTTTTGGCAGTGGAAGGGTTCTAGGGTTGCTTTTAGGAAAGGTGCTTTGTGGATTTGGTGATGGTGGCTTTTGGCATTTGCTTTTATCAGAAAATTTTGAGGGAAGGGGAGGGGAGATGCATAGAGGAAGCAGCACTGCCTCTATATAGCTGGGCTTTGTCAGGGGCTGCGTGGGTGAGAGCTTTCTGCCTGTTTCAGCCCCCTTAATTCAAATACCATCTGGAAGAAAATGCTTTTCTGAAGCTGCTCAACACTGAAATAGTCCCCAAATCTATTACTTTAACTCAGGATATATTTTAATAAGAATTTCTTTGAATATCTAGAAAGCTGAGGATGAGATCAATATTTTTCTTTGAAAGCCAAAATGAATGCCTTAGAGTGGCAAGATATGGAAAATCATATTAGATTCTCATTTTACAATTTCTGCCCTGAGGGAAGGAAGAAGCTTCTAAAGCATTCCTCCCTCAGCTAGAGTAGATTTTTAGAAATGGTTCAAATGGTGGTAACCCAGAAAGATTTTCATCCTTAGGTGGATATCCATATTCTTCGATTCTCTTTCTCTCCTTCTCCTCCTCTTCCTCTTCCTCCTCCTCCTTCACCTCCTCCATATATACTGCTCCTTATTTTCCCAGGTAACTTACATATGTCTCTAAAATAGTTACTTAAAAAGAAGACTCCTGTATCTGCTCAGCGTGAACAACCAAAAGGTGGAAGCTCCAATCCTCACAAAGGCTGATTTTCCTGCCTCTGCATTTCTGAGGTCTGATCATATTTCCCCAGAGAGGTTGGGGTAGGGGGAGCAAGACCATTTCCCCACAGACCAAACTCTTTGAAAAGAAAACATATATATTAGGAGCTGCAGGACAGATGTGGAGAAAGCACCTCTGGGTGTAAGAAAAACACCCAGCTCTCTGAAGCTGCCTGGCTTCGCAGCCTTCGAGACTTTTTCTTAAAAGAAGAAAAGGTTACCTAAAAGCAGTTCGTTGGGACCTAACAGGACCTAACAGGTACCCAGAAATGGCTCCAGTGCCTAAGGATCCTCTGAGGGCACTTCTCGGGAGGATGATAAAGGCCATGATGATGGATATTTTGGATTGCAAACAAAATGGCGACATTTTTCACTTCTGCCTCTGAGAGATACAATCCAGAGAGGATGGGGCTTATTTCTTACATCAGATACTTCTGATCCCCAGACACAGGCGGTTCTTTACTCCCAGTTTTGAGGATGATGATGACCGGGAATGCAGCTCTGAGGTTTGCATTTTTTGAATTTAGATCCTTCTCTGAGCAATTATTTAATCAGAAGATGGAAATATGTTCTTTTACTGTGCCTGTCTTTGCCTCTTCCAGTCAGTAGGCAGCTCTATCTTAAATGCAGGAGTGGAAATGTAATATTTAGCTCCTGTAGCATCAAATGAAAGAAGTACTTATACAATTGCATTTTTATTAGAAAGATACCAATCTCCTTTCTCTCTCCCCCTCCCCCTGGGGCCATAAAAAGAAAGCTGGGAGGGAAGAAGGAGAGGAAATAAATCCAGAGAATGGGAAATGCTAAATTCCTCTAGGAAACAGATGCTAGCATTCAGGCAGTCCAAGGAAGGGATCAGGGAGATTCTCCTGAGTTTAGCCCTCCCTTTTTTTTTTTTTTTTTTTTTCTTCTTCTGGAGGTCTGGGGGAGTTTCAATCCCTTTAGATCTGCTTGGCTCTTCGAGGCGATTTCGGGAGAGATGGTTCTCTTCTGGCGCGATAAACGACTGCGAAGCGTCCGCGAAGGAGACCATAAGTCTGACCGCTCTTGGAAAGAGTTCTGCATCCTCTGCATGGTTGGTGATTCACGGGGTTAAGACGTCGGCTGGTTCGCTTTGACCGGAGCTGAAGAACACGGGACGACTGCCCTGAGTTTTCCCTACGCGCGGCCGCGGGGCACCTGTGCGCCCCCCACCGCGCCTGGGCCGGGCTGCCTTTGTTTCTGACAACCGGTCGTTCCACAGACCCTGCGCCCTCCGCCTGCCTCCGCGGCAGCTGGGAACCAAGCAGCCCAGCAGGTCCGCCACACAGCCTTTCCGTATCTGCCGCCACCAAGAACCCCGACTGCCTTCCGGAATATTTGCCGAGCTTTTAGGCGAGCCGCCGGCCAGGCCCCAAGCCGGAGGAGCTGGGTAGGCGGTCGCGGCCTACTCCGCCAGCTCGCTTCCGCCTGAAGTCCACGCAGACACCCATCTTCAGCCAAAGAACCCCTTTTGAACACGGATGTTAATCAGAATAAAAACTTTATTTTTTATTTTTTGTTTTGTTCTCAGAATGTGAGCAGCAAGGAATGTAGAACTCTCAAAACAAATCTTAGCATTTTTCGCGTTTACAGATTGGTTGTTCAGTTTTGCCGGATGTTACAAACCTAAATCACTGTTTTCAAACGCTGGATCCTCTCTGGTTTATTGCATCATTACCGTTTTATCAAGGAATTATATTTCCCTTTCAAATAAAAATTTTATAAGTACGCCAATACACCATTGAACAAAAGGCCCAAGAAAACCTTCTGAACAATCAGGGTACAGAATTTCTTTAATATAAATACGAACGGATGGGGATAAATAATATTTAAAACTTAGACTATTCAATGCTTGCAAAAAAAATATAAATAAATCTGACTGTTCACCAGCATACACACACGGAAAGACGTACACTTAGTCATCCTTGTACAGGGAGCCCCTGTTTCAAAGCGCCTTTGATTTTTTTTCTCGCTCTTTACAAGAAGTGCAATTTAAAAAACTAAAAATAAAAAAAAAATAAAAAGTAATCGCTCCCCCTCGGGAACCATAAAGTACGAACAAATTCACATTTGAAAACTCGACTAGAAAATTTGTTCATATACCCTGTTTCTGATCAAAGAATGAAGAAGGTAAAGGGCGCAGGGCCAGTGGCCAAGCGAGGGGCGGGAAGAGATAAATATCGCTACTGATACTGACAGCCATTCCAGCAACCAAAATTGCTACGTCACATAAACTATAAAAATGCATTACCAAAGAAAACAAAACGGGGGGGGGCGGGGGAAGGGAGCGGAGGAGAGAGAAAAGGGAAGGGCAGGAAAAACATTTAAAAAATAAAAAGAAAGAAAGAAAGAAAGAAAAAGGTGGGGGGGGGGACTCTCCCGGCACGCAGCCCCAGCCCACCATCACAGGTGGGTGAGCTTGGGAGCTTCCTGAATTCTTCCCTGAGAAGGATGGTGGGCGGTAAGGTCCGTGTAGGTGGGGTGTGGCTCCCCCGGCCCTGGCGCGTGGTGGTGACCGCTGCCCAGTGGCCCAGCAGCCCCGTAGTCCATGGCAGCAGAGGTGGCGTGGGGGAGGTGAGTTAGGCCAAAGAGTGCTGGCCCGGAATTGCTCATGGGTTCCACATAACTGCCCCCCACGAAGACGGGGCTTCCCTGTAAGTGTGGGGTCCCATAGCTGCCGTTGCCTTGCAGGCCATGAGCATGCGGGTCATAATCAGGAGTGCCCCCTGCGCTTGCCCCTGCCGCTGCATAGCGTTTCTGTGGGGGTGGGGGTGGCGGTGGGGCACAGCTGGGTAAGGGTGCAGGGTAGGAAGCGGGAGGCAGCCCATAGGTGCCTTGTGGGGGCTTGGAGAAGGGTGGGGGTGACTGGGGCTCATATGGGACACTGTTGACCAGCGAATGCATAGAGTTCAGATAGCCACCAGCGCCAGGAGGCACGGGGCTGCGACTTGGAGATTGGCCCCCCGATGACGTTAGCATGCCCTTGCCCTTCTGATCCTTCTTGTATTTCATGCGGCGGTTCTGGAACCAGATCTTGATCTGGCGTTCTGTGAGGTTCAGGAGGTTGGCCATCTCCACTCGGCGCGGCCGGCACAGGTAACGGTTGAAGTGGAACTCCTTTTCCAGTTCCACCAGCTGCGCACTCGTGTAGGCTGTTCGTGCGCGTTTGGATGAAGCCTGCCCAGGCGGGCTCTTGTCACCAGCGCAGCTCTCTCCTGCCAGGACAGAGACAGGAAGAGCACGTCAGGGGCTGCATATGGCCCAGCCCAGCTCCTGAACCAGCCTGGCCTCTCTTTCTCCAGGACCCAAAGATCCCTCCATCTGTTAGGGCCCCAAGAGGAATAGGATTTAGGTGCTGTCCTCTCTCTGGTGGGGGAAACAATATAGGTGGTTAGTCCCTCATTCAGCTAGGGAACAAATTATAGGCTTTTTCAAAGAGGGAGGTGGACAGAAATCTCCACTGAGGTGGAAAGAAATCTCCACTTAGCCTTCCTGGTCTGTATTTCCTTCCTGGCACTGATACATTTACTGGTCCTCTAGGCCCATCAGACAAGATTTCCTGTGGACAGGTCTCACCACCATCATTCTTTTCCAGTATCCAGTAAGTTTGGGACACCTAATGTATACTTCCAAACCTTCTTTTCCTCCTTAGCTGACTGAATGATGAGGCAGCAGATTCAACTGGCCAATTCTCCAACTATCCAGAGATGGGCAGAGTGAAAATCCCAAACTGAAAGGCTTCTGCCCAGAAAGATCTCCTTGATGCTATCCATTTCTGGTGGGGAGGCTCAGGTCCCTCATGATGACCTATCCATTAGAGCTCCCCATGTCATTAAGCAGCCTACTAGAGCTTTGTCTACAAGTGTTATGCCCTCCTGTCCTCCTTGGCCCCCAAATCCTGGCTCTGGAGGCCCCAGATGCTCAGGCTTGGAGCAGAGCCCTGGCAACTAGAGAGGGCAGGGGCAAAGGTAGCCAAGATGCTAGGAAGCCCAAGGCCTGGGGCCTTTCCTCCATTGGACTCCAGTTCCAGGAGGCCCATGTGGTTCCCATTAAGATGACAAGCTGAATCCCCTCCCCCAGGAAATCCCTGGCTGCCTTCATTGTAACTAAGTCTGAGCAAAGCCTTCCCAGAGGTGAGGTAGCCACTCCATCTGCTGAAGCAAAAATGGCTCTAATCATAGACAAACCATTGAATCTGACTTGGAGGGTGACTAGGCCTGCTTTTATTCTGCCTCATTTCAATATGAGAAGGATGTCACTGTTTCATTAGAATACAGGATCTGTGCTAAAAGAGAAACAGTGAAGCTGAGGATGGTTCTGCCTAGAGATCAGAACTCCAAAAATGAAATGGAGGGATTCCAACTTCATTAGTCTCCACTTGCTCTTGGGGAGGTCCAGAGAGACTCCCATCAGGTCTGTGTCTGGGGGTTCCTGGTACACAGAGGCCTTATCACCTCCTTAAATTGCCAAGATTCTGGAAAATTTTGAGGTGGGAAGGAAGGAGAGTGGGAGCAGTGGATTTCTGGAAATGTTCTACACTCTGCTGGTTGTGGCTGGAAGTGGCTTGGAGCCTCCTCCAGAAAGCACCCCTTTACCTGAGCTGGAGCCGCTGGTTTTCTGCTTTGTGTTTTGCCTCGACTCTTTCATCCAAGGGAAGATTTGTTTGGCCACGGTGGGCGAGTTGAGCAGGGGGCTCTTGGCTGCGCTGGCAGGGGTGGGGTTGCCATTGGCATTCTGAGGAGGGGAGACAGAAGAAGGGGGCGGGGGAGCCGCAGGGGTGGGTGCAGGGGGCTGCGGTGGGGGCTGGGGTGGCTGTGGGGCAGGGGGTGCAACCTGGGGTGGCGGTGGGGGCAGAGCCGGGTCACCCAGGCCTGGGGGCTGGCTGGACTGGCCGCTCAAGGTACGCAGGCACGCTTCGCTCAGTTCATGCGCCTTTGGATGGCTCCCTGCGCTGGCGGGAGACTGGAGTGAGCAAGCAGGTCTGTGATACTCGCCATCAGAGCCCAGAGCGGCGGATGCCGCATATGGCTGCTGACTGGCATTATAAGCGAAACCGTTGGCTGCCTGGTAGGGGTAGCCACCGTAGATCGCGCTGTCGTAGTAGGTCGCTTTTTGCATCGCGTTGTCTCACAATCTTGATCGCACACTCTGACAGGGGCTTGACACCCGTAAGGGCGCACATTGGCACGCCCCCGAGGTCACGTGACGCTCCGCCGCCAATGGCCGCTTGCCGCAGACCTGGGGGGGGGGCGAGAAGCGCAGCGCAGTGAGGGCTCCGCGCAAATCCATCTTACTCTCAATAGCTAAGTGACATGAAAGCCATAAAAGAAAAAGTGGTCAGCAATATTTAGCAGCACGACTTGGCCCCGGGCGCAGGGAGCCGCACTATAAAAAGCCGCTGGAATTTACTGGCAGCTACAAATATTTGCTTAACTTGCGTCTGGAGTTGGGGGATTTTCCGGGGAGAGAAAGGAGAATGACTGAGGCTGGAAGCTGAGTCTCTGGAGCAGAGGTCCAAAACAAGAAAGGCCTGGTAGGCTGGAAAGAACAAGACTGGAATCTTTCTTTTGGATGGGGGGAAAAGAAACGTGGGTGCCCCTTCATCTCTGTCCCTTTACTATCAACTAGAGACCCCAAGCCTCTCCCCTGTCTGGATCTTGGAGAACCAGCCAGAAGGCAAAGGGGAGCTTGGGGGTCTTCCCGCTTTTTCCTGGAATCCCTACTTTAGTACTGACATTGCCAAAAAGAGCCATAAGATGTGGTTATTCCTCATCCAGCCCCTGCTTGGATCTTCCTGTCCTCAAGAGAGGTTTCTGCACACACACACACACACACACACACACACACACACACACACACACAAAGTAAGCAATTGCCTTATCTGACCAGGCTGGGTTTCAGAAGCTGAGCTTTTTAGGCAGTTAATCTACCTTTGTTCAGGGATAGGACCCACCTCCTCTAAATGAGCTCCTGTGGCTAAGAAGCCCAGAGATAAAAGTTTGGGTGGAACACAGGTCTGTGTGTATGTTAGGAAGGGACCAACAACATCATCCTATCCAGCAAGTCACAACTCAAATCATGGACAGTTCTTTACTCTTTTCCTCTGCTACTTCTCAGGCACTTTGCAGCAAGTCACCCCCACCTCCTTTCCCCAGTTACAAGTTCCCAGATCCCCCTGTCTTGGATTTTCTGAGGTGCTGTTATTCAGAGCAATGATCAAATTCTACCTGTTAAAACATGATGGATTAGAGAAAAAAACAGCCCACCAGGAACCTGAAAAACCAGCGTTCATCTCCATGACCACGGCTTGAACTCTCTTTCCAACTTAACGATAATAGGTTCTGTCTTAGAAACTGCTATGTAATTTGATGTATGGGGGTCATTTGGCTCTGGACGAGGCATGGAAGCACAAGCCATAAAATCCTGCCAGAGTTCCCTGATCTTTGTGTGCTGCTGTTGTTGATATTTGTTATTTGGTCTATTTACCTGCTTCAGAAACACCAAGTAAAGGATAACACTAAAGTCTGGGAATGTAGCTCAGTGGTAGAGCACTTGCCTATCTTGCAAGAGTCCCTGATCTCCAGCACCACCAGGAAAGAAAAGAAAAGAAAAGGTGAGGAGCAATAACAATCTGAAAAGCAAGTGAAAACCTTAACCCTTTTTAATTTAGTTTGCAGAAATGAAATCTACATTTACTCTTTGTTTCCAACCTTTGCATGCTTAACCTCTAGCTCTCAACAAGAAAAGTTCCATATGAGTTGCATATATTCACACACATCACACATTCAAAATGTAAGTCCCTGTATTAACATTGTAATGATAATTCTTTAAGAAAATGGTATACACTTCATGCCCCAACTATGTATATTAAATCCCAGAATTATTCAAGTTTTCCAGGGATAGCAGATGTTAACTAGAAAAAAATAATTTAATAAGCATCTACCAGTGGATGATTATAATTTTGTTTTTAATAATGGACTCCTTTAGATTTCATTATTAAACCAACAATCTGACCAACATCTGGAAAACAGGCACAATTAATTTTCCAGAACCTCAATTAAAAATTAAAGCATCACTTATCCGGAGTTACTGTGCATAATCATGAGCCCTGGAGTACTGTTACTCTTTTGGAAATAGATAAGCAGGTACAGACACCATGGTGGAAAGCAAATAAAGGATAAAGTAAAATTTAAAACTGAATAGCAATTTACTGAATTGGTTTCTTGTTCTTTCGCTGAAAACAGTTCCTATTACATTTGACAGTGTTAATGTCTGGCATTATAAAATTTTTTAGATACTAGACTTGTGTAAAAACGTCAGGTCAAGAAATTATTCTAGACACTTGAACAGCAAGATATTAGATAAAACAAAATTAAGTTAATTTTGAACCTGCAATGTTTCTAGTGACTTGCTAATCCATTATCAGGGGCCTGCGGCTTACTTAAGCCTTTTCATCAAGTTGTGCATTGTCTTGCAAAATAACGAAAATACCTTTTAAAAAATCAAAGAGCATATGACAGCCCCCATAAACTTAAAATATGCATTCAACACCAAGATCCCACCAAAGTCCTTCCTATTGTTTGAGGTCCGCAATCACCTTGGACCTCACACAATTCTCCCACAACTCAGCCCCCAAAGTTTCCAACCTAGTAAAGAAGTTGGAGATTTGCCAGCCAGGAAACTTTGCTTTGTACCCCCCAAGCAAGGATTGGGAGTGAAGGGAGTTCCTCTGCAAAGATCTGTTTCTGGACAATAACCCCCAGGTGCAGGAGCTGAAGGAGGCTAAATCGAGTGCAGGCAACAAGAGCTATTGTCTCTCTCCAAGGTATGCCCAAATTCGACCTCCTTCCTCTAGATACTGCCCCCTCTTTCCACTCCAGTCCCTTTCTTAGTCTGCTTTCACCCCGAGTTTGAACAAGATCATCGAGAAAGAGCCCCTGCATCCCTTGCCCCCTAGCTCCCTTCCCGACCCAGAAAAGTTGAGGCCGAGATGAGGGGAGAGGGGTGAGTGGGGGCGGGGATGGGAAAGCGGCCTGAACTCAAAGTGTAAGGGTATCAGTCACTGCCGGGAAGGAAGCTCCGGCTTGTGAACTCTTCTTGAACCGAGATTTAAGTCTGCAGCTATAAATCACCGAGACGTAAACTCCGCCATTCAGCGCTCAGAGCGGCCGGTTGTGCCCCTGCTTACCTTAACTTCTGAAGAGCGCCGCGAGCGCAGGCTCGGGCTCCAGCCCCCAGCCCGGCTCCGCTGCCCCGCCGGGTCCCCTCGCGCGGGATGGGCACCGACCCTCAGCATCAGCCGAGACGGCGGGCGGGCTGGAGACCCCAAGGCCCGGACGCCGCCGCACACAGCGTGGTCGCCTTGCTGCTCCGGCACGGCTCGCCCAGGGCGGACTGGGGCGGCTTGGACCCCCCTCCC